CGGCAGGGCGCCGCCCGGACACCTCTGGCGCAGACGTGATGGCGGGCGCAAGGCCACCAGCGTCGCCCTCCTGGGTGACCAGGGGCCCGGCCGCGCTGGCCCTGCTGCGGGAGGGCTGGGGTGGGGCGGCTGCTGGGAGGGCAGGGGACAGACTGGCCGGCCTCTGGACACGTTCTGACCGCCCCGCGGAGGTTCGGGGCTTGAGGGAGGTCTGCAAGGGCAGGAACCCCGAAAGGCAGGTTTACTCACAAGGCCACCCCAGAAAGCGGCGGGGGCCACTGGGAGCAGGACTTCTCCAACGGCTGCGCCTGGGGGGGGGTCCCCAAGGCAGTCAGCGGGGCCGCTCTCGTCCGGGTTCCGGCCTTGGTCCGGTGGGGCCGAGCCTCTGCTGCCCAGGCCGCGTCATCTCCTTGCACCCACATGTCAGGAACTGGGGGTGCGGGGTGTCGCGCTGTGGCCTCCGCTGCTTAGAACGCAGCGTTGGGGCCTGGCGACCACCGCGGGCGGGCGGACAGCAGCGACCTGCGCGCCGCCCTCACCGCGAAGCCTCCGGCCCCCCAGGCTGCGGGGGACAGGAGGCGCAGGGGACCCCAGCCACTGGCCCGCGTGCGGGGCTCCCCCCTCCGAGGTTGGTGTCGTCCCCAGCCGAGCCAGCGCCGCCTGGACTGCTCCGTCGCCGCCTCTCACCCGCGCCCAGCGCCTGCGTGGCCTCCTGCGCACCCCCTGCCCCCGCAGCGGCCACTGCCCTGTGCGGGCGCCGTCATGCCCCACCTTGTCTGGGGTCCTGCCCAGCGTCCTGTCTGGTCTCTCCGACCAGTCTCACCGGCCAGCCACCCCTACTGGGTGCAGAGGTGGACCCGGGACTTTGGCCAGAGGAAGTGCAGGGATGGGAGATGCTCCCATGACAACAGAGAGGTGGCCCAAGGACGGCGTGGGCCAGCGGGACAGACTGGACACCGCAGGCCTGGAGGCCGGAGGGGGAGAGGCAGCGCCCCAGGGGGCTGGGACGGGAGGGGGCCGTTGGGAGCAGGGCTGGGGCGGGCGGGGGCCTCGCAGTGGGCATCTCTGTGGGCACAGTGCCAGGGCTGCTCCCGCCAGGCGTCGCGCTCCCTCCCCGTCTGGGAAGCAGGAACAGCGGGACAGCGGACCTCCCACGGAGGGGAGCGGCTGGGTGCCAGCCCGGCCTCCCCTCGGACATCTGAGGAAGGGGCCCTCGGCTGGGGCGTCGTCAGCAGGACCTCCCAGCCCAGCCCCGCTTCATTCCCAGCGGACTCCAGCTAACTCTACCCTGCGTCGTCCGTCTTTTTTGGAGTTGTAAAGCAGGAGAGAAACAACAAATATTGTGTCACCTAACACGGCAGAAGGGATAACTCGGATAGATAACTCATATTCGGGAGAGATCAAACAAGGACATTAACATAACACTTAAAATAAATAGCCAAAAAGGGAAAATGAGTTAGTTCAACAGGGGACAAGATTCCTACGAAAGAACCTGAAACAGGCCAGATGCCCAGACAAGCGGCACCCAAAGGCCAGCGCCAAACCCAGGGCTCTCACAGGCCTGGACGGGGCTGCGGCTGGCCAGGGGCGGCCCCTGGGGACAGGCCCTCTGTGGCCCCCCCCGCCAGGTGCAGCCGACGCGGGCCCCAGAAGGGCGACGGGGCTGACTTCACACACAGGGAGACAGAGCTCGCTGGCCCGCACGCGGCGCCGCCTCTCCCGGGGGTCCGCCGGAAGCACAGAGCGTGCCGGCCACCCGCTGACAGAGACGGGCAGCACCGGCCGGTGTGACGGTCACCACCGGTTCCCCAGAAGCCCAGGTCAGCAGCTTCGCGAGCGGCCGGGCAGCACCGGCAACAGGCAGCAAGTTGGGTGGGGGGGGGGGGCTCTGGGGGGCCTCTGGGCTCCCTCCGGGCCATGGGGTGACAGGAGGGGGCCGCAGCCCACAAGGTCCGCGCTTCTCTTCCCTCCTCTCAGGCTGGCTGCCGGCTGCCGCTTTTCTTCATCGTTTGAGCTCAGTTTCCCGCATTTCCTCCTCAGAGACAGCAGAGAGACTCCGTGTCCATAGGCGGAGGGGAGGCGTCTTGCCCCGCCAGCCCCGGCTTATAGCCTCTGTGGGGGCGCCCCGCCCAAAACTCTGATTGGGCCATTTCTCAATCCTGTGGCTGATTGGCCCATTTAGCACCAATCATCTCATAGCTCGCGCCTGATTGGTCCGTTTCACAACCCAACCGTGTGCATAAAAGGGGGGTTGCTGGGCCCAGGAGCCACAGGCCCTATGAAATCTAGTTGATAGTTTACAAATAAAAGGTGCAATATTTTAATTTGAGAAAATATAAGGAGAGTTTAATAATAGATTGGATATGAATGAAAGGAGGAAATTCACTAACTGAAAGAGCCATAAAAAGTACCTAAGTGGATGAAAAGACCAGAAGAGTGTAAAGCAGCATGTTTGAAAAAGTCATTATCAAGCGATGTCATCTCCCAAACAAAGGGACAAAATGGGGTGACACGTGAGGTTCACCCCATCATCTTCGGCCACCGCTCGAAGATGTTCCGTTAACACGGTGGGAGCGGCACAAAGGAAGTCGCAGCTGTGCTCTCACTGCAGCCACATGGAGGAGTGGTCAGGACAACAGTCTCTGGCGAGCGGACAGGGATGTCCGGCAGAGCCGCGACTGCCCCACTCCATGAGCTGGCCAGCGGCCGAGGACATGCCACGGCCCACGCCACAGCCCTCCAACCAGGATCAAACACCCAGAACCCTGAGAAGATGCCAGCGATGCATGGCGAGGCGCAATAAAGCAGACATGGTCCTTGAAGGAGCTGGAAGGAAGCCCCAGAATGTCTGACAGTGGGGAGGCGGGGTGGGGGTGGGGGAGAATAGGGTCGGCGGCAGTGTTTGCTGCTTAGAGCACTGTTGACAAAGACACACACCACACCCCACACACACATCAACACCACACCCCACACACACCATACATTACCACACCACACAACCACACCCCACACACATCGCACCCCACACACATCACACCCCCCACACACCATACATTACACACGTCACACACATCACACCCCACACCCCACACACACACACACCACGCATACACCCAGGCGTCTCGGCCCTCTGCGGACAGCACCACCACCCCTCAGGCAGAAGGAGCTTGGAGCTTGTATTTTGAGCCTCTTGAGCATGAGGACCAGTCAGGGCCGCTGCCACCGCACCCCGGGGCGGCATGGCAGGTCTTGGCCTGTCCCCGGCCACAGTGTTTCTCCAGCGCCTGTCCATGCCCTCTGCTGAGATTCTGATCAATTTTAGTATTTTTTTCCTGGAATTTACATTTAATTGTTTTGCAGATGAGTTGGGCTGGTTTTAAAAACATATTCCTGATCCCCGCAACTCCGTGTGACGTGTGACGTGCATGCCACCGTGTGATGCCGTGGCCCGTGGGCTCGCTCTGTGAGGCTGCTGGAGGGGACGCAGGTGGCGCAGGGCCC